TATTGTATCAAATTGAAGAAAGAAACAACAAATATGTAAATTATAAGACTAATTATGAATAGAAAATAAAAGAGTGAGTGCTGTTTTCAAGAAATAAATAAAACAAAACAAATAAACAAAAGTAAAAAATTTGTGTATTTTACTTTATTGTTTATTTTGAAATATTGAAAGTCATATTAGCTCAATTATTAAACTTTAAGTGTATGAAATTAGAGAATGTTTTAAAGAATTTGTGAAATATTTTAGGAAATTAGATTCTTATATTTCTTTATTTTAATTCGTGATTTGGTTAATTTCAAGAATTATTATCTTATTGGTGAATTATTTATTATTCTATTTTGTAAACGAGTAGAATAATAATTATTCAGTAATGTAATATTCTCAATAGTATTTAAAATATGCAGTAAATTAATATTTGACTTATTTCCAACAATTATTTTCATAATTTATTATTTAAGTTAATACTAACTTAAAGTTTATCTATTAGTCTATGCCTATAATAAGTTTTTATAATATTATAGAATAGACAGACATTGACATAATAATTATTTAATAAAACAATAATTATACAAATCGTAAAAGAATAAACTAATAATAATTTTATTAATTGATCGTTTAAAAATAATAGTCCATTGTATGTTATTATTTACATGAAATGAAATTTCTAAATAAATCAGAATAAATAAGATAAATAACGTATAATGATAATGAATTAACAACAGAATATCAAAAGAACAAAAGAAAAATAAAAAAAAGAAAAAATAATAAAAAACTGGAAAAAAAAAGAGAATAAGATGGATGAACTATCATCATTTAGTTTAACTTTACGTGAAAAGAATATTGCAATTTTTGATGAAACTATCAACTCATTTATTAAAGAGAATAAATTAGATTTTGATAATGAAGCAATTATTCAACAACTTCAAACAATTGGATTAACTAATAAAAAAAGAAAAGTAGTAGTAGGAATATCTTCATTAGAAGAAGTTAAAAAAACAAGAATGATGTTAAAACAAATGTCAATGAAATATGATAGAAATTGTATATTCTTTTTTGATGAAATAGGATATCAATTATATGATGAATTACAAATGAGTTGTTTTGCAGGGAATCCAATAGCATATCTTGATAGAGAATCAAAAATATCAAATTGCTTATTTGGAGGGAATGCAAATGGAATATTTTTAAAACCATTATATATTGTAAATGAACAAAAGGGTGATATGTATGATTATGGAATAAGTAAAGATGGATATAAAATAGAATCTAAAATAGAGTCATTATTAAATAATGATATTTTATATTGGATTAAAGCAGAATTAATACCAACAATAAATTATTCATTATATCAATATAATAAAACTGAAGCATTAATAATTGTCAATGAATATTATCATTCTTTGTTTGACACAATTCAAAAAGAAATAAATAGTAATTACATTAAAATATTTTATATTCCATATGGAATATTAGACAATTCTGATCCTATTAATTCACTATTTTTATTATTTGGAACACGTTTTAATAAAGACGTTCCATGTCAAAAAAATTTTATTAAACAAAGAAAGAAAATTATTATTCAACAAATTATTGAAATGTTCATTAATTCTCAAGAATTTAAAAAATTATTTGAAAGTTATTCAATTTGTTTTTTAAATGGTGAAGATTTAACAACTTCAATGATACAAAATGCTGATAGTTTTTTTAATACATTTATTCATAATAATATTAATGAATTATCAATAAACAAACGACTAAAAAAGAAAGACACAGCATTAAAAATAATTGATTTAGACTCTGATGGACAAGAGTCTCCAATAGAATTAAAATTAAAATCTCTTTCTCAAAGAAATATTATTATTCCTTATGACACTATTAAATTATTTTATGAAGAATATAATGATAATTGGAATGATAATTGTCAATATTATGATAGAACATTACTCCGTTCTATAAATCCTCCTTTTCCAAATGATAATGAAATTAATGAATTTATGGAAAAATGGGAAAGTGTTATTCAACGATTTGATCCATCTTATGTATTTCTTTGTGATGAATTTGGAATGAACTTAATTGGATGTGGAGATATTATTGGATGTTCTCAAATTGGAGGAAATAAATTAACGAGAGAATCAAGATGTTCTCCATTATTTATTGGTGTAGATTTAGAAGGAAGATTAGTACCAACATTATGTTGTTGTCCAATAGAAATAATGCAACAATTAAAATTATGTTTTCCAGAAGTACATTATTTTATTCAAAATCAATTTGGAATAACCAAAAAAGCACTAAATGAATGGATTTTAAAATCACTTATTAAAAATATTCAAAAGAAAAGAGAAAATAATATGGAAAAACGACAAGCATTACTTATTCTATGTGAGAGTTATAAAGAATGTATAGATGAAAGTATATTACAAAAACATAGAATTGAAGTAATGTATATTAATGAATCAATTGCTAATTTTTGTTTACCTCTTACACGTCTTTTGTGGAGTATGGAAAATGAAACAATGAAATTTACTAGTCATATTCCATTTCTTCAAACAACTCTTTGTTTTAGTGGACTAAAACATCTTTATGGACTTAATAATATTTCAATAAAATCTTATTTATCGGGTAATACAAAAGAATTATCGACTTCTATCATTCATTCTCTTAAAACTCCTTTTCAATACGAGTCTTATAACTTTGATTATAACTCACTTCCTTTTAGTATCTTCCGATTAATTAAAAGTCAATTACAATTAGGAAAGTCATTGAATAAATGCATTTCTGAATATGAAGTTTTAAAAAATTATTCATTAACTATTTGTAAATCTCCATCATCAAATGAATTAGTTCAAGAAATACCTAAAAAACAATTTTTTGATTGAATAATTTAAAAAAATGATATTTATTTTTAAAAATTAAAAAATCTTAAAAAATTCGGGGGAAAAAACTAAAAAAAAAAAATATAATAAAGAACAAATGGTTTGAATGGCTTTTGTGTTTTTTTTAAGTAATTAATGAAAATAAGTTAAATAAACTCATTTATAGACTGCTTTATTTAATTTTCAATCAATGATTGTAGTAATTCTTTTATTCATTTGTACATGCACATATCTTAGATTAAATATTGGATTTGTTAGAAGTTTTATGGATGGAAAAAAAGAAGGAGTACCAGGTTTAATGTGGAAAGCAGCACGTCTAGGAGAACGGGCATCAGCTTGGATTTCTTTAAGTTGCATTATTTTAGGTATTTCAGTATTGATTTGGAAGCAATGAATTAATTTTATGCATTTAGTTCAAAGAAAAGGTTATTTTAAAGAAAAACAAAAAAAAAGAAAAACAAAAAAAGAATTTGAGAAATTTAATTATTGAATTGATCAATGAATGAAAGACTGTTGAATTTTAATCCAGATATCATTTAAATGTGGAAACATTTTTAATGCACTACTAAAAACTTGAGAAATACATGAAATATTTCGTTCACATTGTTGTGGTGCAGTAGATATTAAAAGACCAATAAGCCTTAAAACATTAAAACGAATTGATTCATTTGGAATAGAAATAACATGAGGTAATAAATCTTCACTTGTAATAATTGGTAAATAAGGAATTATTAATGAAGGATTTAATCCTCCAATTGTTGTTAAAATAACAACAATATTCTTTTTTAAAACAACAGGCTTCATCAAAACATTTTTATTGTACACAGAAATAGTAGCATTTATTACTCTTTTAAAAAGACAAGAAACATCATTTTGTAAATTTGATATTAATAAATAAAGGTCCCACATTGCATAAACTACCCCTTCATGTAATCCATTTTCTAAAATACCAATCATTTTTTCTGCTAATACTGATAAAGGTTGGGAATCAATAGAATGAATGTCATTATCAAATATTCTTCCTGCAAGCATTAAAGAAGCAACTTGAATTCTTCTTTCTTTTCTACTTACTCCCCAACAAATTACTTCTGAAATACCACAATGAACTAATACCCCACATCCAGTTATTTGTCCAATAACATCTAATGTTTGAATACAACTTGCTACTGCTCCATCATCTACTCCTCTTTTCCAATTAAATTGTAATACTTCACGTACAGATTGAAGTAATGGAAGAATGTCTTCAACATTCATATCTCTAGTTTTTTGTACAATATATGAAGTTGTTACATAGAGTTGTTCAATAAGTGGGTCATCATTAAGATATCTAGGAGTTAATTGTACAGTTTGTAAAACCAATAAATGTAATAAATCAGGAGTCATAAAAGGAGTAATATTTACAATATCTTGAAGAAGGTCAAGTGCCATATTTGAAGATTGGGTATTATACTGAATTAATTTTTGTACTAAAACAAGATAAATATCACGTGCAAATGGAATTAATAATTGAGGAGAATTAGTAACACAATCAATAAAAGCATTTAAAGAACTATAAAGAAGTAAATTGTTTGAAGATGACAAAGAATTAAAAAGAATAGTAATACAAGTTTTTTGTTCGTTTTGATTAAAATATTGGAGATACATTCCTAAAATTTCAATAATTTTTTTATGTAAAAGAATTATTGAAGAATCAGAAGGAAAAGGAGTATTTAATTGATTTAATAAAATAGTTGCAATATTTTTAAAAAATTGTTGAAAAATAATTTCATTCATGTTTTGATGTAAACAAGTAAGAATATGTAATGACCCTTCAGCAATACGCCAATTAGATGATTGAATATTTTCAATTACAATAGGTGAAATAATAAAAATTAATTGGGGATAATAATTCATTGCAACTTCTAATAAATTTTTAACAGAAGTTCTTGAAGATATTTCAAATTCTTCATCATTATTTCCTTCAAGAAGTTCTGATTCTTCTTTTTGATTTAATACAATTCTTGGTAAAAGAATTTTAAATGAAAATGGATCAATTTTTTCTGGATAACGTGAAATTAAAGCTTCTAAAAGATCACAGCCACTAATAAATATTTCTTCATTTTCATCAGTAATTAAACAATTACATGCTTGTAACATTGGTTCAAGAAGATCACTTGGAGATTGAGACAAAACAAAAGGAGATTCACTAATAAATCTTCCTATTGCTAATTTTAATTCATAATTTGTTGTTTGAACACGAGGTAATAAAAGTTTTAAAAGATCAATATATAAATTTGGAAATTCTTGTGGTGGTGAATATGAAATTTCTTTTAAAGTACTAACAATAGCCATAGTGTTTGTTGGATTATCTTCTAATATTTTAGGAATAATTAATTTAATAATAATTGTTATTTCTTTATGAAACCTTTCACCAATACTTGCATAACAATCATTAATAATCATTGATACTAATTGAATACTACTATTTAACTGATGATTATTAATAATCCAATTAAATATTAATGTTCTTATTTCATCATTAGTAATTAAAAAAATATGTGTCAACACAAGAATTCCTGTTTTTGGTATTTCTTCTAATTTGTTTAAAATAATTTCTGTTGCTTCTCTTTCTCTAAGTCTTTTATTTTTATTAATTGCTTGTTTAAGTAATACACATATCATTTCTTCTTCTGGTTTATTATGACTTCGTTCTAATGCAATTAATAATAAATCACAATAATCAGGCCATAAAATACATTTTTCCATTAACTCTAATGCTTGTTGTTGTTTTGTTCCATCAAGTGAAGCTTCTATTAAAATATGAATGACTTGTTCTCGTTCTTCTTCCATCCAAATCTACAAATTCGTTTTTTGTTTTTTGTTTTTTCTCTTTTTTTTTTTAAAGTTTTAAAGGAGATAAAAATAAATTTTCTAAATAGAATTATGTTATATTTTTTGTTATTTCTTTTTTTTGTTATTCAACGATTTTTTTTTAAAATCGAATATCTTTTTTTTATATGAAAATATCCATCTAATAAACTATTCGAAAGAAAAATGTTCCTTCTTCTTATATTACTAACATACCTTTCTCATGCAACCCAAATGGTAAGTTGGTATGATTATTTTACTGGTAAATTTGTTATTAGTGAATTAAGTCAGACTCATTTTAATTGTAAAACAACTTATTATGATCTTCGTAGTAATCAAAATGAATATAGAAGTTATTCAGGTTGTGAGTCTTGTAATGATAATGAATTATTAATAATGAATGTTTTTCAAAAAGATAATAGGTTATACGGTATTAATTCTTTTTGTTCGTGTTTGTTTTTTTAGTATTGAATCTTTTCTATTTTAATGATTTCTTCGTTTTCATTAATTAAACTCATGTCATTAGCTTCATGGTGTTCAATAATTCCTGAATGTGGGATTTATGATTACCATACTTGTGAATGTATTGCTTGTCAACTAAATTACTTTCTACCAATAGAAAATCCACATCAGTGTCTTCATTTGTCTAAATTCAGTGGATGTACTTCTGCAGATGGTGTTTTTTGCAATACTTGTAAAGATCCTAAACATGTACCTAATCAATTAACACATACATGTCAAATACCTGATTCATCATGCAGTGCTATTGAATACTCTTATTGTTCAAGTTGTACTGATGGATATGAATTTAACTTAACATCAGGACAATGTGAAAGTTTGTTTTTTACTTTCATTTATTTTTATTTGAAAAAAATAATAAACATCATTCAATACCAATTACTAGGTTATCTTGAAACAGTATGTAAGGAACATTGTATATCATGTACTGGAACTCCATATTCTTGTCATTGTGAAAATGGATATACAAGTCAAAATGATCCAACAACAGGAAATGTAAAATGTCTTGACTTAAAAGGATATGACTATGAATGTCAAAATGATCAATGTACAAGTTGTAGTGCTAATCATCAATTATGTTGGACTGGATTTACAAAAACACCAAATAGAATGTGTGTACCTTTTAAATATAACTATCATTGTAAAATATTTAATTCCGGAAGTTGTTATCAATGTGAAGATAATTATTATATTATCAATTTTAATAATAATGCACAATGTCTTTCAATTATTCAACACCCAATTCCTCATTGTAAGATATATATTTTACAACGTTCAAATTATCAAGGATGTTCAATATGTGAAGATGGATATTATTCTTTTATTGATACTAACTTAGGTTTAATAATATGTGAACGTTTGTTTATTCTTTTTGTTTTACAAACAAAGTCAATGAAAAAAATTCGTTTTAAAACATTAATTTATAGAAGTTGATGATTTCAAACCTGAACTTTCATTTTCATCATTTTGTATGGAGTATTATCTCATTAACTCTGATACACATCAATATGAATGTAAAACGTGTGGAATAGGTTATTATCCTCAAAGAATGTTTTGTTCACGTTGTGAATATCATTGTATTCAATGTATTTCAGAAAGTCAATGTCTTCAATGTGAAATAGGATATTTTGTTAATAATGGAAAGTGTGAAAAAATGGAATTTGAAAATATTGAATCATTTTGTTTATCTATAGATGAAATATATGGTTGTTTAGAATGTAGTAATTCTAATTCATATGGGAATTGTGATAATTGTCCATTAAATTGTGATAAATGTTCAATTGATTCAAATGGGATAAAAAATTGTTCATTATGTTCATCAAATTATGAATTATATAATGGAGAATGTGTTAGTAGTTCATTACTTCATTGTAAATCATATGATTTTATTCAACATATATGTAGAAAATGTGATGATGGATATTATAATTATAATGGAGAATGTACAATTTGTCCAGAAGGATGTGAATTTTGTTATTTAAATGAAAAACAACAAGTTAGTTGTAATAAATGTTCAAAAGGATATTATAAAAAAATAAACAATGATAATATTTTATGTAACTTAACAATAAACAATTGTAAAATATATCAAGAAGATTATTGTATTGAATGTGAAAATGGATATTATTTAGATAATATAAATGAATGTATTTTAGCACCTTCACATTGTTTGAAATATGATATTGATAATAATAAATGTATTGTGTGTGATTCAAATACAAACAATATTAATGGAATTTGCTTAGAATATGAACAATGTGAAATAAATAATACTCTTGGTACAACAAATGAATATTTTAAAATAAATGACAATTGTAAATATTTTGATCGAAGTTCTAATAAATGTAATGATTGTATAAAAAATTATCATGTTGGAGCAAATGGTGATTGTATTCAAAACAATATAGAAGAATTAAAAATGGATTTAAATGAACATTGTTTATCATATACTTCGAGTGGATGTTCTCGTTGTATTGATTCTTATTACTTTAATTATCAAACAAAACAATGTGAAGTATGTCATAATTCATGTAAACATTGTTCTGGTCCTTCATCTACTGAATGTACAACATGTGATTCTTCACATTTCTTTTTAAATGGAAGTTGTGAAAATAATGAAGAATTAAAGAATAAATGTAATATAATTATTGGTGTTGAAAATAGTAAGATATGTTTGTCATGTAAAGAAGGATTTGTAAAACAAGGATTTGAATGCAATGAATGTCCTAAAAATTGTTCTTCATGTTATGATCAAGAACATTGTTTTGAATGTAAAGAATCTTTTTATTTAAAGAATTCATTATGTTATTCATATAATCAATTAACTCATTGTACTGAGAAGACAAAGAATGGGTGCAGTGTTTGTGAAAATGGGTATTATCTAAATGATAATAATGAATGTGAAAAGTGTAATAGTCATTGTATTGAATGTACATTAACACATTGTAAACAATGTGAAAATGAATATGTATTACAAAATGGAATAAATTGCGTTTATTATCAATCAATTGACCATTGTATCAAATCAATAGATTCGAAATGCTCAAAATGTAAAGGAATGAATAAACCAGATTCAAAAGGAGAGACGTGTGTGAGTTCTTTAAATTATGGATTAATTATTGGAGTACCATTAATATGTGTATTAATAATTATTATTCTCTCTGCCTTATTAGTTTATTATTTTATAAACCTTCACTTTATTCATTATTTTAATAAGAAACAAGGTGTTATTCCACAACCAATATCAATGTTTTCTGTTGAATTTTATGATAATGAATATCATAAAGATATTCGTTATAATTATACTACAATTACAAGTGATAATGAATTAGAGGTTGGTAATACAAGTTCAATTGATATAGTTGTTGGTAATTTTAATAGATATAAAACTTATGAAGTTCATCTTGCTACTCCAATTGATGATATAAAATGTTCTTTTAGTCATAAGCCTGAATGTGCTGATATTCCACCAAAGAAAGCAGTTGTATTTACAATATTCATAAAGCCATTAATATGTTGTTGTATTACACATACACTTGGAATTATTATTAAAAGAAAACGCTCAGATATAGTAATTCCAGTTAAACTTCATTTATTTACTCAATTAGATTGTTCATTAGATCCAGATGAAATTATTGAACAAAAACAAATTGGAGAAGGTACATTTGGTTCAGTATTTAAAGGGATGTTTAGAGGTCATACAGTAGCAATTAAAAGACTAAAAATTTCAACAACAGACGAAAGTATTTCAGAATTTAATAAAGAAGTTGAATTATTAGATAAATTTAGATGTCCACAAATAGTATATTTCTATGGAGCAGTTTTTAATCCAAAAAGACTAACCATTGTAATGGAATTTGCACCATATAAAAGTTTAAAAAGTATGATAAATAATGAACCAAGTGAAAAAATTTCATTTAAATTAAGAGCAAAGATTCTTTGTGATTGTGCAAAAGGATTAATGTATCTTCATAACAATCATATCATTCATAGAGATGTAAAAAGTGATAATATTTTATTATTTGATTTAAATCTTGAAGCTCCTGTTAGAGCCAAGTTAACTGATTTTGGATCATCAAGAAGTATTACATTAGCACAAAGTAATATGACATTTACAAAAGGAATTGGAACACCTATTTATATGGCACCAGACCTTTTAAACAATAAAAGATATGATGAAAAAATTGATGTATTTTCATTTGCTGTTGTAATGTATGAAAGTTATATTTGGGGAGATGTTTATCCTGAAAAAGAATTTCCATATATTTGGAATATTGCATCATTTATTGCAGATGGAAAAAGAAGACCAAAGATAGTAACAATGGAAGAATGGTTTTGGGAATTAATTAATTTAGGATGGAACCAAAATCCTAAAGAAAGAATAACGATGGAACAAATAGTATTAGAATTTGAAAAACATGGATATTAACATACAAAAAAATTTATAATATTTACCATTTCTTCTCCTTCAATTCTTTTTTTTTGTTGTTATAAAAAACTTAATTTCTTTTTCTTTTCCGATTTTTTAATAAATTCTTTTTTGTCTTCTTCTTTAAAAGATTCATTTAAATGTTTTTTTAATTTCCAATCATTTAATTCATTTTCAATTTCATGAATTTGAATATCATCATTAGAATTATTATTTTGACTTTTAATATCTTTTTTTCTTTTAAGTAAGTCATCGACAGTAATTTTTTCATTTCTTTTTTGAGTTAATTTCATATCTTCTAATAGTTCTAATTGATGTAATTCATTAATAGTATCTTTACTTTGATTTTCTAATTTCTTAATAATATCATCATCTTCTTCTTCTTTTCTTTTTTCTTTTTCTTCTTCTAAATGTTTTAATTCTTCTTTTCTTGGTTCAGCATTTTTTGTAACATTTCTTTCACAAATATAATCAGAATTTTTTGGATCTGTTTTAATTGTAAATATTGTTTTACATCTTGTACATTTAAAATATAATCTATATATCTTTATTCCACAATATGTCTCTCCTTCAACCGTTTCTTTTTTTGAATTAAATTTTTTTCCTTTATAAATATATTCTCCACATGCTTGACATCTGACTGACATCGGTAACATCATACGAACATCAAGTAATTTAGGTCCTTTTCCTTTTCTTTGTTTTCTTAATTTTTCATTAAATTTTTCAAGTTCTTCAGGATCAAAATCAGGTGAATAATATTTTGATTGTCCTTTTCTATCACTCATTCTTTCTTTTTAATTTTTTTTTAGTTTTATTTTTTTAGTTCATTCTTTTCTGATTAAAGATCTCTTTTTATTTTATTTTGATGAATTTAAATAAAAATGAATTTGACAACTTTCTTAAAAACCAAAATTATACAAGTGCTATGAAAATGTTAAAAGACCGTCAACGACTAATTGACACTTATCAAAATGATGAACTTCTTTTTCAAAGAAAACATCAAAATACTTTAATTATGTCCGCTTTTAAAATTGTTCAAAACTCTGAAGAAGTAACTGAGTCTGACCATCTCTAATTCATTTCTTTTTATGTTTTTTTTAGGAATTGTTTTATATACATTAATTAAACCTAATTCATTTGAAAGTGAATATTAATTAATCAACATTTTCTAAATCAACCAATATTTGATCACGTAATTTTGCAACATCATCAGGAAATAGCCCAACTTCTTCTGTTATTATTGAATTATTACATTTCTGAAGAATAGAAGTAAATTTTTGTGTTTCTTGTTGAAGTTCATTAATTAAAGAATTTATTTGGGTATCTTTCTTCAAATATGCCTCTTTCATTTTAATGAGTTGTTGTTGAAGAAATGTTCTATATGTCTATGTTTAAGTTTATACTCTTTTTATAATTAACATTACCAAACCAAATATTCTGTCTTACACAATTTTAAGACTTCACTTATACTTTCAGTATTTAATGTTTTTAATAATACTATTGACTCTTCAAGCATCTCAGAATAATATTTTTCTTTATTATTACTTCTATTAATTTTATTAATTTTCTTTTGAGTGTTATGATTAGTTAATTAATTCAACAAACTCAATAAATTGACTAATTAAATTTATAAAACCAACAACATCAAGAGTTGTTTCTTCCATTAAATTTTTGTTTTCTTCTTTTTTAATTTGAAGTAAATATCATTTTTTATTTTTTTTTATCTTTTTTTCTTTTGATTTCCTTAAATATAGTCAATAAAAAACCCTATAATAGGGTTAAAAAATAAGTTCAACAGAAAAAGAAAAAAAGGAAATAGACAAGTTTATAAAATACAACCCTATGGCTATAACACATCCATTGTCTAATCCATGGATTTTTTGGTTTGAGTCAGGAAAAACTTCAGATAGGTCAACTAGTATTACAACTTTTGGAGAACAAATACAAACTATTTGTACAATAGAAAATTTCTGGGGATTTTATGA